AAACTTTTTAATGTATTCCGAGAGTTAAGAATCACTCCATAGAGTTCTAAAAATATGCAAGTGATCAAATAGGTACTCATATTATTACAGGCCTAAATTATTATCAAGTTTTTAAGGAATTTTATTAATAAAGTAAAATACTTAATTCTGAAGAGATGAAAGTTTCTCTCACTGCTTCGAGTGTATATTAAATGTCAAGAAGGTATTGTACTTTTATTTCTTTTTGTGTGTGTGGTTTTTTTATGATAATAATAAATGAACATCTCAAAATATTCATGAGTTTAACTGCATAAATATACTTTGTGTGAGACAAACTTCTATCTCCATTCACTCTAAATAAGCCATGCACTTTGATATCTCTGTGCTTTTTCATCTACTTTTTCCTCTGCCTGGCCAGCCCTCTCTCCTGTGATTTGCATGATGAACTACTGCCCATTAATCAACATCTAGCGAACATGGCATCTCTTTTATAAAACATCTTATCAATCCTGCAGGAAAAGATAAACCCCCTTTCTTCTACTCTTAGCAAACTCTTTTCACACCTCTCTTCTAAAAATCACCAAGCGCCCATGATTTGCCAGGTACTGACCTAAGTACTCATAAAAGCTAATATTTATTGTACATTTATGTGCCAGGTACTGTGTTAAGTGCAGCACCTATTTTTAATTTAATCCTTACAATTCTATGCATGTGGGGCTATTTTGTCACCATTACAGTCTTTAAGGACTTAGCCTGCTGCCTGCTTTATAGATCTGGCAGCCCTGGAAATGCAGCTGAGATTTCCTTCAAGAGATGCTGGCCCCATTGATCTTGACTGACAATCCCAGCTGCCTCCCCTCTGGATCTATTGCAGCAGCTGCTGTTACATCTGCCAAGACAAGAGACACCCATCCCTGCCCAACAGGTGATTCCTTTAATGGGTTACTTTTGCTTGGGGAATCCCTATGGCTATTAATAGGAATCCCTATTAAAAATGTTGCATTCAATTGCCCATAGAACAAGGCCCCCCTCTGTCTGGTAACCTGAAACTATTTTGGTAAGTAGAAGGTATACATGAAGGTAGGAAAGAATAGAAAAGTTGCTGAATGCAGTAAAAAGTTTTATATAGTAACACTAATATATTTAAAATAAGTCAACAATAAATCATCTTATGCATACACACAAAAATAAAATTCTTTGTATTAAGAAAAGAAGATTAGGCCGGGTTCAGTGGCTCACGCCTGAACTCCTAGCACTCTGGGAGGCCGAGGCCGGAGGATTGCTTGAGCTTAGGAGTTCGAGACCAGCCTGAGCAAGAGTGAGACCCCTGTCTTTACTACAAATAGAAAGAAATTAGCCAAAACAACTAAAAATAGAAAAAACTTAGCCGGGCATGGTGGCACATGCCTGTAGTCCCAGCTACCCGGGAGGCTGAGGCAGAAGGATCGCTTGAGCCCAGGAGTTTGAAGTTGTTGTGAGCTAGGCTGACACCATAGCACTCTAGCCCAGGCAAGAGAATGAGACTCTGTCTCAAAAAAAACAAACAAAAAAAAAACAACAAAAAAAGGAAGATTATAATGGCTTTTGCAGCAACTCGGATGGAACTGGAGACCATTATCCTAAGTGAAGTATCTCACGAATGGAAAATCAAACACATGTACTCTCTAATAATTGGGAGCTAATTGATGGGCACACATGGGCACAAAGAGATGTAAAGGTCATAGAAGATCAAGAAACAGGGGAGGAGCAGAGGAGTAAAACCTACCTATCTGGTACAATGAACATTATTTGGGTAATGGGTATACTAAAAGTCATGACTTAAGTGTTATAAAAGGCATCCATGTAACAAAAACATTTGTACCCCCTTAACATTTTGAAATTTCAAAAAAGAAGGGAAGCTTTGTGAAATAATTCTGAATCTGTGTTAGCTGTAGATTATACTGTTGAAAACTATTTTGGTTTTTATTTTTGTGTGTATACATATGAGCATGTGGGTGTGTTGTGTGTGTGTGTGTTTCTTTTTTTTTTTTCCATTAACCGAGTGGTCTTGGACCACTGCTTTTCCACTTTGTGAGTCACTGCAAGTACTGTTCCTGCATGTATATTTTTTTTGTATATTTGCTAGTTTTTATTAATTCCAGTTTTTTATTTTATAAACTTGACTTTCCATTCTGCAAAGAAAGAGAAAAAGACAGAGAGAGAGATGCAACTCGAATTTGAGTATTCTCTAACCTTTGAATTTGTAGGAGAATTTAATTTTTCAGTCAGGATGAATATTACTTCCTGACCTAAAATTATCGATTTTTAAAATGCAAGTCTACATAGAAATGGAATAAATTTAACTTTTTGATTTGGTAAATTTCAAGAAAATATTTATTTATTTTAATGTTCATTTATTCGAATGATAAAAAGTATTTATGATCATAAAAGAAACTGTATTCAGCTATTTTGGGTTAAGAATTATCCAAATGGAAAAATTATTAGATTATCAGTCTTTGGCAAATAGAAATTTTCCTGTCTAGGCTTCTTATTGAGTATAGTTGTCTTGATACTAAAATAAATATATCTATGCATATTTTTTTGTTAATTCACAACTATAAATGATGATTGTTAGAATAATATTTTATTCTAGATATATAACCCACTTGATCATTTACTATTCATAAAACACAAGGATTATATCTAATGAACATCTATTTGGGGATAATTAGTGATTTAAACAAAAATAAAAACATGGTTTTTCTGATTACCTTATAACAATATACACAAAATGATTATATTAATATATAATTCTATCAAATAATAAAGAAATACATATATGTAAAAAATACAAAAAGGTTAAAAATTAATTAGGCCTCAATACTTGCATGCATAAATTGAAGAGTTTTATATATGTTAATAGAAGAATATTTGCAAGCTTAAGCGTACTTGGATTATCTTGATACTTTAATTGAGAAATTGTAAGTTTTGAAATGACAAGATAACTTCAGATATGCTCACATAAATACCACAAGAAATGCAACTAAAAAAGTGTGTCTAACAGCACGACCCTGATGTGTGTATATTATTCCTGTGTGTGTTGTGTGTGTTGTGTCTGTGCAAAAGTTCTCTTTTCCGAGAAACCATTTAAAGTATATGAGGCTTAATACGCTAGGGCGTAACAACAGCATATCTGGGGTTACACTGGTGTTCTCAATTCACACCCATCCGATAATAATAAGTAAGGACGAGATACTCTTGTAGATAGCAAGGGAAGGGAACTATTAAGAAATAAACGAATAAGAGAAGAGAGGGTAAATGGAGGTAGGGCGGAGTTTTATCACAAATGTAGGAGGAATTGAGTGGACGTTAGAACAGTCTAAGAAGGAAAGAGGAAGTAACAACAGGCTAAAAATCCTGTATTTGGAGCACCAGGGATGGAGGGACACTGGGGGAGGGACAGTTCCATAACCCACTAAATTCAATTAGGGTCGATCTTGCTAAAGCGGTGAAAGAAAGGAGGGAAAGGTGAGGGGGCCTGTTGAAAAGACTTGGTAAAAGCTTGTGGCCCAACTGATCTTAAACACAGGGTGAATGCAATTGAGTAAAAATAAGCAGTTTATGGTGTTTACATGTTCACCACTGTCACCCCCACTGCGCAATCACGGGCTGAAAATGTCACATGCCCCTCAGTTAGACATCTGTGGAGATTAAGGGCTCCACAGTGGCAGAATCCAGGACCTTATTCATATATTAAATGCCGCTCAGCAAACTACATCGGGTGCCTAGTCACCATAGAATACTCCAGTCAAAGAAAAATACATAAAAGATCATTTAGCCAACATTCTCTGAAACTAGGAAGCCTTTCCTGCATAGTATCACTGTAAGTTGAACTTCATCGGAAGAACAAACACAATTCATGTTTATATCAGTGATTCCTTCATTCTAAGTCTAATTCTTAGAAATAGTAATTGGTATTATTAAAAATAACAGTCAATTATCTCTTATGCCGTTATTGCGCAAGCATGGTACAGGATGAAAAAATTTGGAATGCTGGAATTTAATAACTTAAAGCCTATTTGATATGTTCACATTTTCAAGAATGATATGAAAAATATTCATTATGAGTGCCTAATTACCCATCACAAGGAATTCTGGATTCAATTCTTTTTAGAGATACTTAAATATTTCTGGTAGGCATCAAAAGCAACTGATAGGGGAGGCTCCCTGAAAAATTCTCAAAAGAAGTATATTGTATGGATGATCCCAAGAGTGGGCAAAAATAAAGCACCACACGTACTTCACGAGCCAAAGTTCGGATTAACTTATCAACACCTAAGTGCCACAGTATAGGGAATAACTTTTATTGGACGTGTCGGGGCAGGTGGGAGGCGGGGGGCCGAATGGAGCGCGATGGGCTGATAACAGCTATACAAACATAATGGAGTGAGATGGTGCCAACGTCTGGGCGCGATGGTCACTGCTTGAAGCTTGCTGACTCGAGAGGGGTGTGAAGGGG